AGGTCCAGACCTCACAGCCCAGATGGAAGGACACGAATACCTGAAAAGCCAGATATAAAAGGCAATGGTTCTAAAGTATAAACAGTGGGAAAAGACTGATGAACAGCCACATTCACTTGCCCTGCTTCCCCTCTGGAGCAGTCTGCTAAAATAACTGCAGCATTCTCCATTAGCACCCGTGGTGTGACTCTTGGGGATGTCCTGGCCAGGGCTAGGAGCTGGACTCAATAATCCTTGCAGGAGCTTTACAACTCAGGCTAGCCTATCATTCTGTGCTTTTTAAAATCACCTCCTTCTGTGAGGTTTTCCAGAGCCTTTAGTATTCAGTGGCAGCGATTAATTTTCCAGTCTCAGAGACAAGCTCACCTGCAGCACAGGTTGCACAAAACAATCTCCTGCTGAGCACAGGACCCGTGCTGTGGCTTCGGGCTGTGCTTTGTTCATCACCTCGCAGGGCATCCATGACAGGAGCTGCTGCTGACAGCGGCTGTAGGAGACAGACGGACTCCTCCTGCCTCAGGAGCCAGGCCAGGGGCAGTGGCAGCAGCGTCTGTCAGAGCCCAGGAACACGAAATGGGTTTCAGAACGGGCCACAGCAGAGCCTGGCTCCTGCGGAGCCTCGCACAGTCACAGCAGCGAGGAGAGGCTCAGCCAGCCCCGCCGGCTGCCGAGCATCCCTCCTGTCCCAGCACGGGGCTCTCCAGCACCTCTCTGTCCCAGCACGGGGCTCTCCAGCATCGCTCCCTCCCAGCACGGGGCTCTCCAGCATCCCTTCTGTCCCAGCACGGGGCTCTCCAGCATCCCTCCTGTCCCAGCACGGGGCTCTCCAGCATCCCTCCTGTCCCAGCACGGGGCTCTCCAGCATCCCTTCTGTCCCAGCACAGGGCTCTCCAGCATTGCTCTGTCCCAGCACGGGGCTCTCCAGCATCCCTTCTGTCCCAGCACAGGGCTCTTCCCCACCACTCCCAGCATGGCATGGCACTCTGCCACACACCCAGGGCAAGTGCCCCCCAACTCCTGCAAGGACAAACCTCAGGCTGCATAGTCTGAGCTCGACCCCCAATTTGATTGAATCAAGGACAGAGTAGAGCTGCACTGTGCCAGCTCCAGAGCCAGCACCACCCATCCTCCCCATCTCTTTCCCAAACAGCCAGGGATCAATGGCTTTATTAAATTCTGCTTTATTTATCCCTCTTACCCTTGACTAGAGGGTTTATGAGCAAGACCAGCGTGGGCAAGCCCTTAAATACAAGCAACACGACTTTCTTTTGAGCCACCACAGCCCACACCCTCCCTGGCACCGCCGTGCACCACAGCCCCGCTGCACCCTGCCAAGTCACCGGCTTTCCCCCGCGGGCACTGCGAAGGTCCAGCTTACGTAAGAAGGAACAAACTGGCTTTTCTTCACCACCCTTTCAATGCTGCCATTCATCCCTTGCCCTCCATCCTTCCAGTGCCACCTTGAAGGATGCAAAACACACAACCAAAACACTTCATCTCACATGTTGTCCCAGGGTGAATGTTGTCCATGGTTTTGTGCCCTTAAAGAAGTGAATTTAATTAAGGCAAAAAAGTACTCAGATGCAAAGGTACCCATTGTGTTAAAGACACTCTTACCCTGACAAAGTCATGCCACTGCTCAAAAAACAAGCAGTTGTGACCTGACAGCCCTTTCCTGGAGGACACAGGGGCTGCAAAGCCAGGTCACATGCATCCCACTCCACCAGAGAATCCGGCATCAAACAGCGAGGGACCAAATCTGTTCAATGGTTGTGTAAAGATTTTGGCTCTGATGCTGAGCAAGCAGTAAAGCTGGTTTCAGTTCTACCCAGCTGGAAACATCTTGGTCAAACCCCAGGTTATTTTTGCATCTGCACATCAGTTCTGCCTCGTTAGAGACTCCGTGCTGTCTTTGGCCAAGTGGTCAACCCCAGGGAAAAGCAAGCCAAGAGGGGAACAGGACACAACTTTGCAGGCTGAGCATGAAATGACAAAGCCAGGTTTATTCAGACACAAATAGCCTGCTTCAAAGCATTTTCCAGCCCTCATGAAACTGATACGAGCATCATAACCATCTACATTCCAGGATTTTTAGCCCTTTTCTGACTTCAGGCCAGCACGGATGCATTCTGCCTGCCATTATTAGTCAAATACCAAATTCCAACTCCTTTACGAAACCAGGGGGAAGGAGACATGGCTGGTTGAACTCTTTGTCCTTCTCCCCCCCACATACACACTTTCACATCATGAGAACAGAGCAAGAAACCCACAAAAAATGCACATTTCCAAAGCCAGAGGCTACATCCCAGTTCTGACAACCCAGTGGTCTTACCACAAAGCTCAGCACAGCCTGGATCTCCTTTGACTTCTTAACAATACATTCACAGTGGTGGCAGGGTGGGGAAGAAGGGCTTCAAAAGGGAGGAGCAGCAAGGAACAAGTTATTTTCAATCCAGAAGCCAACCACTGCAACATGAACACTCCCCATCGGAGTTTTACTGCTCCTCCAGGGAAGAGCTTTGAAGTGTGGCAATGGAAAATGAGGACAGAGCCAAGAGCACCCAGCACATTGGCTGGGACAGTTCTGCAAGCACTAAAATGTCTGAGGTATCAGTAAGGGCTGGACTTGGTGAGGTAAAAAGGGAAAGTAGAGAACACAGGGCCTTGGTGGTCTCATGCCATCCGTACATTCTCCTGCCTGCAGCTTCCAGGGAGGCTGATGGAGCCATTGGGATGCAGGCAGCTTGCTCAGCCTCACACATGGGGTGTTTTGGACCTCAGTGTGATGCAGAGTGGTGTTAGCACATAAAGCTGGAATTTACTCACTTCATCCAGCTTTGGATGTGGAAAGAGAAATCAGTGTGTTCCAAGTCTCCCCTGTCTAGCCAGTGTCAGCAAGGGAGCTAGGAAAAACCTTTTTCTTCTATGGCTATTCAATCACAAGGCAGCCATATGGAGAGAATACACTCACATCACACAGAGCAGCTGCTGGGCAGCTCTTGCAGCCTTTTTGCACCTTTTCTGCCCATTGCACAACCAGGACCTTGCTGCCAAAACCAGTAACACTGCAAGCCTTTCCTCCCCTGCCCTGGATGACTGCCAGCCAGTGACCTTGAGAAGATGTTCCTGGGACAGGTCACGGCCATGAATCACAGCACAAGCGTGGCTGGGGAGGCAGCAGCTGGTTTGCAGGGTGGCACTGGGATCCAAGCACTGCTTGGAGAGGCAGGAAGAGAGAGGACCAGATCAGGAGGTGCAGGGGAAGCAGCTGGTGGGAAGCTCACACAGCATCTGTGCTTTGGCCCCAGCCCCCCATGCTTGCACATACTAAACATCAATTTCATGCAAATTAAAAGAGGAAAAAATAAACACTCTGAAAAGACAAGAGATGAAAACATCCACTCTGTGTTTTTTGACAAGAGGGATGAACCCACCCTGAAGAAATGTAAATGTAGCAGGAATCAAGAGACTCCCGGGATTACTCATTATGAGACTCTACATCTTTCTGTTTTGCAGCAATTAACTGTTAACTGGGAAAAAAATTGAATAGATCAACACTTTTCTATTATTAGTTTTAAATAATGACTCAGAAGCAGACACTTCCTTTTTCCCCAAGCTATGAGGAGCAAAGCACCAAGACCCTGACGACTGTTTCAGGCTCATTTAAACTGCAAATATCTCTGCACAAATTACAGGAGAGTGGTGTGAGTACAAGGAGAAACAAACCCTTTTGTTTTGAATCTAACTACCAGCAATTACCTCTCATTTATAGGTTAAAAAGCTTGATACAGCACATTTATTAGAAAAAGCATGGAGTGCCTGGATGTAATTGTGCAGAAACTGGGGAAGTGAGGGGAGAGAGAGGAAAAGTCACGCCTGCTGATGGCCTTGGAGAGAAACTGAGTAAAAGGCCAATACAAAGAAGTCTCCCCAAAACACAGAGCTGTCTCCCAAGGCCTGACCCTGGACCTTAATCACCCATACCATCCACAGTCCAGGGAAATAATTAAGCATTTCAGCTCTGAAAGAGTTGCCTGCCTAATCTGCTAAGCAAACAGTTCTTGCAGAGCAATTCAGAGAGAGAAAGAGAAGCAGATTCAGCTGACGAAACACAAAAAGTCTCTAAAGGCATTAATTTCCTTTGGGAAGCAGCCCACATGCTCTCAGCACAGTGGGAACCATCACTCCTGCAGCAGGTCCCAGCAAAGCAGATGATCAAATCTGCATCAGCCCTTTGGAATAAGCAGAAAGGCAGTGGATGAGGATCTGGTGGCACGAGCAGTAGCTGGAATGCTGAAAACAGAAAAATTTTGACTTGACCTTGACATCTGCTTATTGAAAGAAACCTTCTGGATCTTCTTCTCCCCAGGATAAGCATCTGCATCCCTACCATGCTCCTCTAAAGTGTGCACAGGGATGATGAGGACACAGCATAGATCTCAAGGGACTTGCACTGCATGCAGCAGTGGCCAGGACATGGAGCAGCACACCAGGGCCTGGCCAGCTCAGCCATCCAGGAGCACTCTGCCCATCCTGGCTGGCCACAACTCCTAAGAACATCACCACCCTCCTGGAAAGGGACAGGTCATGGGAATGCTCCACACTAGCAATGTACAGGGGCTGAACCTCAGCTCTGTGAACAGCAGAGTCCCACAGTACTTTGCCAAAAGGTCAGGCAGTGCAGAGGTGCTGTGTTAGCAACCTGCATGCCCCAGAACACCCCACAGGACCTCTTGTCACTGCTCCCAATGCCATTTCCTTCCTGTGACCCTGGTGTCACACTCCACACCTGTGAGTAGTGTGAGTCAGAGTCCTTCCAGGTGTTCTTCCAGGCCTGTTTGGCAAAGTCAGGCACTCACCCATCTCACTGCCTTTTGAAATGACCACCAGCACCATCAACATCCCAACCCCCAGAGAGATCCAAGTGCTCTGCAAACCTTGGACCTCTGAAACAGCAGACTTGAGACAACACACAGAGGCAGGTACATAATTTCTTGGGGTTTTCTTTGACTTTTTTTATTCCTTCCCTTCCTTTGCCATGACACACGCTTTGTTTTAAATATCTTAAATATATTAATTTTTAAAAAGTATTAATAAAAAGCTACTGAAGGACATGATTGGCAGAGTGACCGAGGGCAGCAACCCATTGCAAAGTATGGGGACATTTTAAAAAACAGAAAACAAATTATAACCCCAAAAATGGCATTTTTTGCATATGCACAGCTGGCTGTAATACCCTGGACTCTGGCATTATTGTAAAAATGGAAGGGGAAGCAGTAGAAAAAATATATTCCATTGTACCAACTTGCATTGGGAAGGGAGTTAAGAGCAAAAATGAGGAGGATTTAAACATTTTTGGTATTTCAGATGTTCCCTCCCACACCCAGTGCCCAATCACTTTCAGTCTTTAAGCAAGTTTTCTGGTTTGGGGTAGCCAAAGAGTACAAAATCTGCTTCATAAAGCTTGTAGAGCTGCTGCCTCCAAGCCAGTGGGATTTTGGCAAACCAGTTATCTTCCCAGCTGCTGGCAGTCCTGTTCCGATAGCTGGGTGGGAAGCGAAGCAGCCTGTCCACTTTGAGGAGCTGCAATAAATAAGCAGCATCCTCATCCAGCGTCTCCAGCTTCCCGATGAAATCATAGTCTATCTGGCACGGGTGGCACAGACGGTAAACCTGCCTCCAGTGCTCATTGAAGGGGGCCATCTTCTCTGTCCTGGGATCCAGTAAGTACTGGATGAAGTCAGAAAAGGAGACTTTGAGGCCTGCCCCGAAGGCCTCGCTAACAGAAGTGGGAAGGTTGGTGTGGTTGGAGTAGAGCTTTAGCATGGGGATGGCGAAACGCCGGTAGAAGTCCTCGTTCTCCAGCTCGAATTTGCTGCGAAAAGCGGAGATGAGGCGGACAAAGGGGTCTCGTACAAAGAGGAACTTGGTGTATTTCTTCAGCTTGATCTTCATCAGGTGCCGGGAGAACTTCCCGTAGCGGCGCCAGAATTTGTTGAAGGTCAGGTGGGTGCTGGTGTTGTGGACGTGTTCCCGGGGGATGTCCAGAGGGTTCCGGTAGGGAACCCCCTGGTCCAGCAGGCTCTCACTGAGCACGATCATCACACGCTTCCAGTTGGTGCAGGCCACCTTGGGCACGTAGCAGTAGATGACACCGTGGCGGTCATCCACGATCAGGTGGTTGAGCTCGTAGTTTGGAATGTCATCGAAGGAGCGCTCCTTGGTGGGGAAGGTGAAGCTGGAATTGGCACAAAACTCTCGCAATGTTCTCTGCCTTTCTACCTGCAGCTTCTCTTGGTCCAAGCTGTTCCTGTCCTTGTGCGTAGACCAGTCATAGCCCCGCACGTTCTCCTCCAAGTTACTCACCACAGGCTTGTTGGAGCCCTGGACGAGGAGCTGCTCTGTCTTTCTGGGGACAGAGGTGTTCTGTTTCAGGCTCGAGCTCAGCAGCTTTGCCAAAAATTCATCTACATCTGGCAAGGCTTCCCAGTCCTCACCTGCTGTGATGGCTCCTGGGGAGCGGGGTCTGGAGAAGGATGTGTGCAGGTAGAAGTGAGCCGTCCCCACGTTGTCCCAGTACACAATAATCAGGAGGATCATGAAGACGGAGACCAGCACCACAGACAGACGGAGGAGCCGTGCTTTGGTCATCCTGACACTACTGTGGTAGCTGGCTTTCACCTGGACTCACCTCTGGCTTGCAGAGTGAGGCTTGGGATCCAGCATGGTGCTGCAGAGAAGGAGCCTGGAAAGGTATGAGGAAAGAAAAAGTTAATCCTTAAGAAATCCTTCTGGTTTGGAGAGAATGACCTGGCACAGTCAAAGCTTGTCGTGGGGCTGACCATCCCCACTTCCACATGGGGAGAACTGTGAGAGTCAGAGCTATCCATAGAGACTCTGTGGAAAAGAGCTGGCTGGCCAAAAGCAGACATAATGTGCTGCAATTCTATCAGTTTCATAGCAGTCATGGGTTTTTATCAATATCAAGTTTCTGGAATCAAATTATTTCAAGAGAAGTTCTGTTTAAATTTTAAAAATTTAGTAAAATATAATGATTTCAGTCCTAGAGCTTACAGAGGCAAGTTTGAGAGTTTTAAAATATGCAACCATAGACAGAAAGTGTGCAGAGTAAATTACCTTTCAGACCTCCTTGATTTTTACACTATCTAACACAGAAGTAGGAAGCCTCCATCCATGATTTCAGCTTTTGGTATCACACTGTGGTCTCATCTCTGCATGAAGGTGCTCTGTGCTGCAAACAAATTCCTTATTTGAGTTATGAATACAGGGCTGAAGGCGCCACTGCCTCGGCAGCTAAAGCAAATCCCTGCTGAGAGAACATCACTGACCTGAAGACACCATCTTATCTACTCTGTGTGGAGGCACCTTGTAGATGTTATTTCCATGACCTCTCTTGGTAGCTATTTCATTTTGCCAGGGACAAAGATTACACAAACAGTTCTCCTACTGTTCTCTAACCCTGCAAAGGGATACAGTCCTGATAAGAGCCACGCATCAATAAAAATCTAAAGGACAGATTACCTTTAACTGAATGATTTTGGAGATTAAGGATGCTCTGGTAAATCCGTGTTTGTGCCCAGACACTGTTGAGTCAGAACCTCTTTTCCTGCTTTGATGTAATTTATATTTCTATCACACTCAACACTAACAACCCTTGATCACCAAAGACAGGTGAGAAATCACTGTTAAAGAAGCAGCTCAGATAATCTGTTCTGAGGGGTGCAGCAGGTTTGAGTTTTTTGCTTCAACCAGCCCCATCTTTTCACTGCTGTCTGCTTTCCATGACTCCCAGCCCCTTTCTTCCTACAGGATCCTCAGGGAACACCCATCTCCCCAGCCTGCTGCATGTTTTCTGGTCCAAGGCTCCGTGCAGAGGCAGGCTGGCAAACCAGCCCTGAGCTCTCCCCGAGCCAGCAAAGAGCCAGTGCCTACAGCCAGGGAAGAACAAAACAGCAAACTGAGGAGCTACAGTGTTCTCCACCCCTCCAAGCATAGTCCAGGCTCTGATTATAAACACAGAGCAGCACCTACAGATAAAAAACAAGAGCTGTCCTTTCCACAGACATCCTAAATATTTCCAATTACTTCAGAATAAACGCTGTAAACACCAGCTTTGAAAACAAAGCCACTTCAGGGCAAGCTGCCCTGAAAAGTTTTGTTAAAATGAAGGCTGGGTGTCTCTTCTTCCCAAAACACAGAGGTTGCTCCCCAGCCAGTTCACACCACCCTTAAACAGCATCAACCCCACCCTACACAGAGATGCAGAAGAACTCGAGTCCAGATATGCAGAAGTGCTGAGCTCTGTCATTCCCAGGGAAAAGGTGCTCAGTACCTCTGAAGTTCACTGCAGCCTTGCAGTGAATGACTTAGGAAAAAGTCCCCTGCATGGTTGTGCTTGTGTCTCAGGGGTGGTGGGTTTTAATGACTAAAGTCCAGGTTTCAAACATTAGACAGGAATTTAGTAACAAAGAGGAACAATACCAGATACAGTCACATGTCAAAGTATTAGGTCAGCTTGTCCCAAAACACAAAACACATATCTGTAGGCTTTTGGTTTCTCCACCCTGGTGTATTTATTTACTATTTGGAAGTAGGGACAGACAGAAATTCAGCAAAGCTGTAGCCTAACACAGGCACCAAAAAGTGCCCTCTCCTGAAGCCAGGCTCTTATTCTGCCTGCAAAGGGGAGCTGGAGGAACTGCAGACATAACATTTTACACTCTGCAGAGCAAGAAGCAGGTATTACTCAGCAGTAATTCTCCTTGTTTAGCTAGTCAAGATTGAGGATGGAGCAGATCTGAGAAAAAACACCCAGAGAGATCAGCAGAGAGCTAAAGAAGGGGCAAATTACATATGTGCGTCAGCACTTCAGACCAAGCATCCGAGTCCAGCAGCAGAAGATAATGGAGGGACACTGCCAAGCCTCCTGCTTGGCACACTCCTGGGTTTGAGTTTTGCCCAAGTCTATTCTTGCTTTTGATCCTGTTTAGCTGCTCAGGGCAGGGACTGCTTCCTATTCTGGATGAATAGGGTGCCCACTGCGCACAGAATCCCAGCACGCTGCGCTTCCAGCTCTGCTTGAGACCTCTGGGCTGGCTGGAATGCAGCAAGCCTGGAAAGCTGCACGGAGCATCCTTTCCTGCTGTCCCCATACCCAGCAGCTCCCAGAGCCCCGGGCAGCACTGCAGCCTCCCAGCATTCCTGCAATGCTGTCCCAGCCAGGCGTGGACAGATCACCCTCCTGGCAGCAGCCACAGGGGCAAACTGGACACTGCGTGTGGCACTCACATTCCTGGGGCAAATGGAAAGAGGGATCTTCACCAAAGCCAACCCCACAGTGCAGCTTCACCAAGTGCACCCCAAGGGCTCCAGCCTGCTTTCCAGGACACGGCACGCAGGCCTGCCAGAGAGTTTGGCTTTTCCAAGACACACACAGCAGTGAGCAGCATAGAATCAGAAAGACTCCACTGCTATTAACTCTACCAGTGCCAGAGAGGAACCCTGGAAAAGAGCAGTAAGACAGCTTAAATCCCCCTCAGAAGGAAAATGCTGCAGAAAACAAGAGTTGCTCTATGATTATGACCCATCCCCTTCCTGAGCACTTCATAAAGGATGCCAGACTGAAAGCACAAATTAGAGCTCTCTGTGCACATTAGAGGGAACGTGCCTCTGTCCTCCCCTTGCCAGAATCAAAAGGAAAAGCTTCCAGAAAGAGCCAAGAATTTACATTCAAGTTCAACCCAAAGTCACCAGCCAACAGGAACGTGCACCAGGATCTACACAAAGCTGCCTCTGTGACACGGTGCTGGCAAACTGGAAAATGGACCAAGTGCTATAATCATCCCACAGAGTCCCCTGGGCAGCCATCCTGTGACCATCTCCAACCTGAACCTGGCCCGGGTGTGAACCAAGAACTTTTCTCCCCATGCCAGGCCTGAGAAAGACCTGGTCTGAGGTCACTCGTGCCATGACAGGTCAAAACCCCTGCTGTGTCAAACAAGCACCTCTCAAACTCATTTAACACCAGAAAGGATGTGTCCCCAACACTCTTCTTGCAACAGTTATTGCACATGCAACTCCTCGGGGGTTTGGAAACTTTATTTCAACTTCACAGCCCAATTGTAACTGTTTATCCTCAGGACAGATAAGAGCTGAAGTAATTTGTGTCTCTTTATCCCTCTCCTCTTGGCTTTATATGACAACTACATTCTCTTCCACCCTCTCTGCAAAAGGAAGTCCAGCTCACTTACAGGAGCAGTAAGGCCCACAGAAAATAAAGCAGCTTACAGAAAGCATGTGCCAGATACAGGGGACAATAAACCCTCTCTATGAAGAGCAGAGGCTTTGAAAGAAATGTCCCTCCAAAGGCTTGGGTGCTGATCCCCTCTCTTCTTGCTTTGAGTTTCCCCAGCACTAGGCACCACCTCAACTCCTCCAGTGCCCATTTGATCTAACATGAGAAGATACAGGCTTTCAGGTAGCTTACTTGGATTTTGCCTGCTTAGGAAGACAGAAAGAAGTAGAGTAAGAACTTTTAAAAACACAAAACCCCGACCAAATTCAAATGGATACTTTCCTCGGGGCATTTCACCAGGGATCACTGGACCCATGCAGCCTTCTATACTTCTATATCATGGTACACATCAGTTATGCTTAGGGAATCAGCAACCTCTAGAAAAGTGGAACCTAATTTAATCTCCTAAAGGTGCAGGAGAACGAGCTCCCACCAGTGAAAACAGACTGTACCAATAAACAAATTTCATGCACTTGGCTATCACTCAACACATTTTTTTCTGCCCAGCCTCCCGAAAGTCTTGCACCCTTTGCAGAGCAAGGAAGTTTTAACCCATCAAATGACACCAATACTTACATTAGTATAAATGTACACCATAAGCAAAAACTGAGCTGCTTTGCATGTTGCACCAGAACTTAGCCCATATATGTTACAGACCATATGTGTTAGAGACCAGCAGAAGAACATCCTAATCTACAGTTTGCCAGCACCTTGTCCGCCACTGCTGCCACAAAGCCTGGTTTGTACAGGCTTGGCAGCACTTGCCACCTCTTTTGTAATAACGATACTTGGAAGTTGTCACAATTTCCTAAATTTCAGGAGGAAACTCCCGAGACGCAGGACGTACTGTTCACCCATTACTTTTATCACAAACTTCCAGCGCACGAACCCATCCCTGGCTTCACAATTGCAGGAAGCGCCTCCGCAGCCCCGGTGCTGCAGCCTGGGCCAGCAGCACCCGGAGACGTTTGTTGAGTGTCAGCCCTGACAGCCGTGCTGGCTGTAGAAACACCCGGTTCCGGCGGTTTTCAGGCTGGGCTCTGCGGGGAAGTTTTGCACGTGGAGTTCGGGCTGGAAGAGGAGCGTTCCGGGCCGGATCCCCGCGGAGCGGCGCTGGCAGCCGGGCGGTGCCGCGGGCGGCGGCTGCATCATCCCGGCATCGCTCCGCTCTTCCCCCGGGCGCTGCCAAGCCCGGCAGGGCTGCGGAGCACCCGGCAGGGCTGCACCAGCCTCAGGCCCGGCACCGGCGCTGGAGGGAGTCACTGAATCACTAAGGTTGGAAAAGACCTCCAGGATGGAGTTCCACCATCATAACCTAACGCTGTCAAACCGTGAGCCCAAGTGACACATCCACATCTACCTCCAGGGACGGTCACACCACCACCTCGTCCCGCTTGAGGCTGTTTCCTCTTCTTCTATCTTTTGCTACTTGGGAGAAAAGACCGACATCCACCTGTCTACAGCCTCCTTCCAGGTGGCCGTAGAGAGCGATGTGCTGCCCCCGGTCCTCCTTTAACCCAGGCTAACCCCCCCCGTATTCTGGGAAGCATCCAGCCGGGAAGGTGCGAGAAGGGGAGCTGCCCGCAGAGCCCCGCGTCCCGCCGGAGCCGAGCCCTACCTGGCACCGGAGAGAGCGGAGGAACAGGCGGGGGGCACGCCGCGCTCATAACCGGGAGCTGGTCCGACCCCGGGGCGGCACCACCTCAGCGAGCCCCGCCCGGAAAACCCCCGAGCCCTGCGCGGCGCCGCGCTCACCTCCCGCCCGGGCAGCGCAGCCTTCGCCTTCCTCCCCTTCTCCTTCCTCCTCCTCCTCCTCCTCCTCCTCCCGCCGCGCTCCCGGCGCCGCCTCTCGCGAGACGCCGCGCGCGGGGGTCCCCGCGGGGCCGCGCAGGCGCCGCTCCGCCCGCCAGGGGCGGCCCCGGCCGCGCGCCGCCCCCGCCTGAGGGAGCGCCTGAGGGGCGGCGGTGAGGGGTGTTCGCACCCCGCCAGCGTGAGGGGAAACCGCCGTAAGTAAAACACAACACCCACCTCAGCGTGCCGAACAGCTGCTTGCCATGCAGCAGGGCAGAGCACTGGAATAGGGGGCAGAGAAGGTGCGGATCTCCCTCTCTGGAGATATCCCACACCCGCTTTAGGTGACTCCTCCACGGCAGGGAGTTCGACTAGGTGATCTTCAGAGATCCCTCCCAACGCTGAAAATTCTGTGATTTTGTAAAAATTTAACGTAAAGCTCGCTTTTAAATAAATCACAGGTTACCACACCGTAACGCTGTGTGGGTGTTTAATGTCACTGAAGCTTGGGTGGCCAGCAGTCATGATAAGGAGCAAAATCAAAATAACTTGTGGGATTCCTTAAAATCAGAAGGTTTTGGGCAAGTTACGATAGACGAGCCTCAGAGACAGCAAGATGGTGATTAGAGCTAAACAGTAGCTATAAGATTTGTCAGCAGAAAAATTATACAAGAAGTAGAAAGAAAAGACAAAGAACAATAGTCTGTGTATTAACGCTTAGGTAGAATAACTCCCTAAGTTGCAGAAAAGTATATCTGGTGAGATATTATATTATTAAGCTTAATAATAGAGCTCTGTACATTGTATCTTAAGGTTTACAAGCAAGTATTGTATTCAAAATAAGCAAGCATTGTTTTAACCAAAGGTACATGTATTCATAGTGATTAGATAGAACTACTAACAATATGCTTTTGCTTTGTGTGATCGGTCAAAAAGCTTTTAAAGTAAGTTGTAACATTAAGTTCTTGGTCTGCTGCCTGAGATGTAAACTGCTAGCATCTTCCCATTGTCATAACCATGTAATAAAACTAATGCTAAAAAGTAAACAGCTTGAGACGTATTCCACAGTAGTCCCATCTCGTTCGTGATTTGTACATAGCCCCCAGCCAGCGATATAACTAAACACAGAAAGGCTAAAAAATGCTGCTGAAAAATCCCAGCGCAGTTTAAGCTCCTTTTGCTTCTCTAGTTGTTTGTGATTGGTAAGAATCAAATAAAAAAACCACTAGCCCAGCACTGAAAAGTTCCACTTCGCACAAGACACAGGCTGCAGCCTCACATCCAGCAATAATCAAACATACAAGTGATAATTTACAGATCCCACCTCCAATATTTCGAGCCCCAGATTTTGTATAAATTAACAGACTTTAAACGTCGATTTTACAAACAGGGAAGTTTGCTCATCACGTGGCTCTGTACTCTTCACAACAGTCATGGAAAATTACCAAGTTCTTTTCCTTCTTCCTATCAAACTTTCCCTTCAGAGATGCAGCCTCAGACTGAGGCACTCGGCTCAATTCAGCTCACTTGAAATGGCACCAAACACTGCAACTTTTTTATGGTGATTCAGCTCAAAGGTATTTAGCAGAGATGTATATGCTTGAAAAGCTTCATTTTCCCTCATTTTTGGTCCCTCACTGTTTGCAGGTCACGTGAAGTCTTGTAAATCAATCCTGGCTCAGGACTTGCTGGCACAGGTTTGTCTTACACACACTCTGTGCTTATTTTATCTTTATTTTTATCTTTATTTCTTTGTTTATCTTGAAGAGTCAGCTCTGGAGACAAGTGTTCCTGACCTTCCACTTCCCTGTCACAGTTTTTCCCGTTGCTTTCTGTTTCACAAGGAAAATTGGCTGCTTGCTACACCTGCTCACACCCTTGCATTGATTGCATCCCCGCTTCAGGGGCTTAAGGCATTTATAAAGACAAGTAGTTAAGCTTCCTCATCCCTGGAGTGAATTATCCCTCATCTTCCTGACAGCAAAGCAAGAGGCATAGAGAAATAGGAGTGTGTACCATGTCACGCAGTGAGAAGCAGCACACAGGAGAATCCTTTGCAAGTGCTGCAGCTGTAAAATAGATTCTTCGTCCATTTGAAAAAAATGCCCAAACCTACCTGAGACTGTCACCTTAGAGGAGGGAAGCCACTTCTGCTTGAGGCAGTTATCAGAATTTTATTTGCAGCATATTTTTAAAGCCCCTTAATGGAAAAGGCTGTCAGCTGAAGATGTTTGTTCCAAAAGAAAAACACATTCCCACAGTTTACCTCCAGTCATTCTTATCAGGGTCTTCACCTATCACCACTGCTGCCTCCCTGTCTGCAGTCAGATCTGAAATGCTCTGTAGATAGAAGAGAGCTTAGAGCAATCCCTGGCTGCTCTCACAGCCAAACATCTGCTCACCCAAACAGCATTCCAGACGTGCAGTACACCTCCCAGCTTCACAGCAACACACAGGGAAGGAACAGGGAAACTATTTCTCAGGCATTTACATTTGGTTTTAATAGTCAGGGAGCCTTTTGGATGCATGGGTAGCATCCACACTTTTGCCCTGGGAAAAGAATGTGGCTTGGGCTCCACGCTGACATCTTCTGGGAGACAGACACTGCTGGGAAAATGAGGTTTTCCTTTTCTCTCAGACTCTGTTAACACCCTACTTGTTTGAGACTGAAGCTAACAGCTAGAGCAGGCAGGACAGAGCAAAGACTTGAAGTAGGGATATGGATATATAGATATAGAACAGGAAATCTATGGTGTATAAGCTTCCTCTCCTTGCTCACCTTCCCTCTGCTCTTCAGCAGCATGACACAGAATCTTAAATACATTTTAAGGCACACTTCTGAATCTGTTTCTTCAACTTCCAGCAATCTTGACATTGCAATCCTTTGGGGCCAAAGAGAGTCCTGTTTACAGGTGATTTCTGTTCAGTCCTGGACTGGCTCCCCAGACAGGCGACTGACTGCCTGTGGCTTTTGCCGACTGCTGGCACCATCTGCAGGCCCTGCAAGAGAGGGAAGAGGAGGAACTCAGCCAAATTTCTCACACCTTGATTTGAGTCTCTTTGCCAGTCAAAATGGGGAAGAGACAGATTGCTACAGGCTGTGGAGGGATGAGTTTGGCGAAAGCCAAGGATCTGCACAACGCTGCCTCAGGAAGATCCCAAGGTGACACCTTCAGTGGAAGCAGTATGTTGGCATGTGGCTAACTCAGATAAAATTCTGTGCTTCACATATGTTCATAACTGGGGTTGTGAACACCTCTGAAAATGTTATTTTCTCTTCCTAAGAGGTTATTTTTGGCTAAAGGGAGATGGAGTGTAACTCCTCCTGGAACATTGCCCATGTCATCTGTTGCAAAGAAAAAAGGCTTAAAACTTGGCTATAAAACCTCTACCCATGTGACTGCTTTCACAACTGGACCATTTGTGTTGCATTTACAGCTCTTTTAGTTCAGACTGCACCAGAGCAAGTGCTGAAGAGTTCCTCCTGTGCCAGCCAATCTGATATTTCATGCACTCACATGTTTCTGTAGATCCTGTCCTTTGATGTGATCAGCATTGCTGTGCTGGGTGGTGCTTGCAGGAGCGTTGCCTTTTGGCAGTACCTTGAGTGGAGTCCCCTCCGTTGGAAGCAGGGAGAGCTTTGTTATAAAAAGTGGAAACAGAGCACAGTTTCAAAGTATTTTGCAATGTAGGAGTTGCTAATAACTAGCCAAAATAAATTAGAGAATTGTAAATCAAAAGTTAACCATTTTTTAGTAAAAAAAAAAAAACAAAAAAAAAAAACAAAAAAAACCAAAACAAACTAAGAAAAACTTATGAGGATCAGCAAACTCCCCTTACCAGAGCTGTGAAGGATTCTGGCAATGTTTCAATAGGATTGAGGTGTCCAGTTCCCCATAACTCCTCCTGGTATTGTGTGCCTGCACAAAGCAAAACAACTGAAGCTGGCAGATGGTCAGTGCAGCCTATCACTGGTGTCCTTGCTGAGGCTTAGCTTGGACATGAAACAAAGGCTAAACTGAGATCAACAGCGTGCTGCACATGAACCCAGCTGAACATTAATGCTTCCTCATAGGTTACAGAGGCATAGCTGAGGCAGTTGTCTGCAAAGCATATGCTTTCTTACCCATCAAAAGCTACTTAGACCATGTAAAAATATTATTGTCTGGCTGATAGTTCTGATCATTAGCATTTACCCTGACTTATTTCTCACATGACAATCCATCTTCTCCAGCAGAGCTGATGCAGGATGTCCCCATCTGTCAGATGTGATGTCAGGCGCGGAGAAATCTCTTTGACCCCTACCTGAATGATTGCTGACAAGAGCCCAGACCTTTGTGGCAATGGATCTGCTGCTTGCAGCTTTGGATGGATGGAAGAGGCTGGCTTGGCACAGGTGGCTCTCACAGACTTTGTCTGTACTGTGGCTTGAGGGAGTCCAGGGCTTATCTTTCAAGATCTGAAAAATATCAAGATGAGTTAAACCCCTGGTGTTGTCTCTGACCTCTGACTGTTGTCCACATTGCACCAAAAAAGTTCCCTGCCCTTCCCACCTGACCAGCTCAGCTTGCTCTTTAGGCAGGAGGTCAGGGGCGTTATAGAAGGATAAAGATATTTAACTTATTTCCTCATGCAGTTTGTACTACTGTTTAAAAACCACCTGCTACCCTGGATCTATGCCTTCTGCTCAGCTCATCCCTTTTAGAAAAAACCCACTAAGATAATAAATTTGTGTTCCCACCCTGTGAAAGTTTGTTTCTTTGGTTCTTTGGCAATTTCCTCCAAAGTCTCTGGACTCAGTAGAAAATAGCAAAGTCTACAAGAGGCTTTTTCCCATGGAAAGCCTCACATACACTAGGTGTAGCTGCCCTGCATGTTCCACCATCACAAGAGCAGGATGCTTTCCACAACAAATGTGCCTTGAATTCAGTTCCTGCTGTACTGACCTGCTGAACTGAGCTTTCTGGCAAACCAGAGAAAGTTGGGCTGAGATGGGTATCCAGAGACCACACTTCCTACAGAATGTCATTTTAGATGATCTGTAACTGCCACTGTGAACAGACTATGCCAAGAGGTTAACAGATGAAAGCACAGACCCCTTATCGACAGGCAGAGATGGAACATGTCTAGCTGAGAGCTGGCAAGCTGTGGGGAAAGCAAGAAAGCTGGTAAACCTGGTGATAAAGAACACAGCAAGGAATACTCCAAATTCATTTTTGTCCCCTCATCCTCACTATCTTGGCTACTTTATTTGGTTTTAAAGCTTGGCAACAGAAGCAAATTAAAACATTCCCCATAGCCCTCTCTACAGAGAAGGCTCCTGTTAAACCAGAGCTGATTTGAAAGAGCTATATACCAGGAAACTTTTTAAAGGTATTTCAGTTTCTAGAGATCCTTGCAGTTAGGTATCTCCCAGCTTTGTGGACTTACCTGGGAGGTGCCAGGTCCCCATGCCCTAGACAATAAGTCTAATAATAAGAAAGACTTAGAGTACTTGTCTGACGCAAGGGTGATGGAGGGAATGTCAAATTTCACCCTCCAGGGAATATCATTCATGTTCCCAGGCACACCCTTTCTGATCTCATCTTTATTAGGATCCAGATGCTGACTGACATCCAGAGAAGGGCTTTTGTGGGGCTGCAGGAAGAGGGAAGAATGAGATCCTCAGCAGATTTTTCTCACTGTAAAGCCCCTTCTCTAGCCCAGGCTCTCAGTCAGTGTTACAAAGACACTCTTGATAACTCATGTGCTTTTACAGAGTTCCAGCCACCTGCTATTTGCTCCCCTCCTGTAGAGGGTCACCCAGAGCAGTTTAATTTCTCATGTAACTAGCACTAAGGGTAACTCAAGGTGAAACTTGACTCTGTGTCCTGTTCATTCTAGACAATCATAATAAACAGGAGATGCTGCTGCTTGGACTCCCTGCTGAAGACTGGCAATTTCCTAGCAGCCCTTACTGTCTCAAAACACACAGGTTTTCCTAAGACAAAGCAGTCAGCAGCATCTTTCATTGCTGGTGGAAAAGATCTAAAGACCTCAGAACAACTGTCCCCTGAGCAAGCAGAGGCCTCTGGCTAAGAGAGTCTCCTTCAGCAGTCACTTGGGGCATTGTGTGTTTGGCCATCTTACCTTTGAGTCACCTTTCTTTTGAGTGGAACTCCAGAGACAACATGTTCATAAAACAAAATCCCTGTGCAGCTCCTGACTGGCACCAGGACCCAGCCAGGCTTTGGGTGTGTGTGATTCCATGGCCATGACACCACAGCATGGGACAGGGTGGATTCTCCAGCACAAGAGGCTGCTCTGCCTTACCCTGGGCATGCTGGACATCACTAAGTGCAGCAGCAGCAGCAGCTCAGCACCCCCTCTCCAGCTCAGAGAGGTGCAGGCAGTGTAGCCTCACCGGTGTCTCTGGGACAGGAATCACATGAACCTCTGAGCTGTGCTGCTGCATCCTGCTCTCAAGCACCCACCAGGCTGCCAGACTGGCAGCCCTGAGGGCACCTTGCCCTCCTCATGCTCAGGGCCCCCATCCTGTGCTGTTCTGCCAAGAGCATGTTGATCTCTTCTCTCACTGTAAATCCATGACATCCCTGTCTTCCTCCTCAGTGTTTCCCCCCTTCTCCTCCTTTGATGGCATATCATCCCTGCATGCCCCCTCAGCCTTCTCTGGTTTCCAGCTGCCAGAAAAAAAAAAAAAAAAGAAAGAAGAAAGGAACTTCTGGGACACAGTGACATAGCTCTAGTGATGCATAGCCCTTCATTGTGTCTGTCCAGCCTCTTCTTCCATGACAACAGCAGAATTAATTAGTCCAGGGTGCTCTGGAGCTGCACAAACCACGCAAAAGAACACAATTACCTTCCTCCCTTTGTGATCTTTCCATGGAAGAAACACCCCAACACAAATTACTGCCTATTCACAGGTACTTGGTGAATATCTTTGATATCCTCAAGATTTTTTTAACCATAAATGACCAAAATCCTGAATTTCCAGTACCCAAAGGGAGTCTACAAGAAAGATGGAAAGAAATTTTTTACAAGGGCATATAGTGGCAGGACAAGGGGGAACTGACAGAGGCAGGATTAGATTAGATGTTAGGAAGAAATTCCTTACTGGGATGGTGGTGAGGTACTGGTGAGGGTTGCTCAGAGAACCTGTGGATGTCCCATCCCTGGAAGTGTTCAAGGCCAGGCTGGATGGGGCTCAGAGCAACCTGGTCCAGTGGAAGATGTCTCTGCCCATAGTGGGGGTATTGGAATGAGATGATCTTTAAGGTCCTTTCCAACCCAAACCATTGTATCATTCTATAAAATTTACAGAGGCATTACATGGGTGATAGGGAACTGACACCTACTTATAAGTTTATCCAGAAGAAAAGGATGCTGCTGCTTTTCCTGGCATGGAATCATGCCTAGAGACTCTGCATCCAAATGGAAACACTTCACAAAGCAGCAAGTGACTGGACCAGGGAAGAACCAGTCCAGTCTGTGCTTCACTCAAGTTTTTCCCTCAAAACACAAGTTCAGAATTTGGACCAAAAGAGATGAGACATCTCCCATTTATACTTTAGCCTTGAGCCTAAACTCGATGCTCTATGTGCTGGCTGCCTTATGGAACTGTAGCTCCTCCTGGTGAGTTTGGAGGTCCAAGTATACATGATGTTGGAAGCTAAGGAGGTTCTCACTCAGCAGTTGTTGGGAGCTGCCTGCAGGTGTCCACATGCAGCTCACTGTCGGTGTTTTCCATCTCCATCAGGCTGTGACACATCTCCATGTGCTCTCTGAAAACCTCGATCAGCTGTGCCCTCAAGGTGTTCATTTCTTGGCTGCCGTGTGCCTCAGACCCTCAGTGCCTCTCTGCTGCAGCAGAAGACATTTCTGATCTGACATTAGGCCAGCTGAAATTCTGTGATGTCCCCCCAAAAGTACTCTGGGATCAGGCCAGATGTTATAAGACATTCCTTTTTAGGATTCTGCTTCTTTCTGCAGGCTTGTCAAGTTCATCATGTGCTGAAGAAATCTGATGCAGCTTTATGATTGCATTATTAGCAATAACTAGTCCTCATTGCCATGCTTTTGTGAATATAAAGGGGAAACTGCATAGCAGGGAGATCACTTCTGCCTTTGCACACAACAAAAGTAAAAGGGTATCTGTTTTCTGTGCTTGTTATCTAGAAATAACCTTGGCTGATGGTAGCAGAGGCCTATTATATCTCATGTATTGTCTGTCAGAGAACTTGACTATTTTTATTTCATTTCTTGCCAGATTCACTGACAAAAGGAACGATCCCTGGGGCAGAACAATCAGTGTTTTAAAATCTTCACCCTGCCTGTCTCTCGATTTTTTTATTTTTCTTTTTTTTTAAATTACATTCAATGGGCCATAGAGCAGAGCTCGGTGTCCTGACACAGCCTCAGAGCCCGCGGTGATGCAGGCTACAAACTCGGTCACCTCTCTGTGAGAGACAGGGCTCCCCACAGCAAATGCCACCATTTGATCTCAAATATCTTTTCAAGGGCAGGTTTGTGAAATTTAACGCATTTTAAGGCTGAGAAAGACGCTGAGAAGGGCAATACCCAGAGTCACACAGTACATCAGAAAAGAAGCTCATGCAGAGAAACAAGTTCAGCTCCCCCGCCTGCCTCCACTGCCCATCAGAGTGTGCTTCCCACTGTGCTCCTCTACAAGCATTCCTGAGCCACGAGAGACCCACCAAACACCACCACAGCACCCCCACAGAGCCCCTCTCCCACTCTCTTCCCTCCAGAAACCCCAGAGCTGTTCTAGCTCCTGGTTCTACATTGCAGAACCCCGAGGCTGGAGCTGACTGCACTTTTCTCCTTCTCCTGGTTCTCAGCCCTCTCCCTCAGCCACTTCCCCACATCCATACCTGGCACATCACCCTCTGCTTTTCCATTATTCTACCCTGTTTTTTCACCTTCATATTTCTCTCCTCATCTACAATTCACACAATTTGCTTTCCACTGTTCCCTTAATCTGGATTTCTTCTCTCATTCACAACTCTACACCTGTGCTGCCTGCTCCTGAAGTTTGTTCTTTCTTCATCCACTGCATCTTCCATTTCCACTTGCAAGCTTTTAGTCATAGAATCATAAAATGGTTTTGGGTTGGTTATACTCTCATTTCACACCTGCCATGGGCAAGGACTCCTTCCACTATCCCAGGCTGCTCCCAGCTCTGTCCAGCCTGGCCTTGAACATTTCCAGGGATGGGGCAGCCTCAGCTTCTCCGGGCACCCTGTGCCAGGGCCTCACCATCCTCACCAAATCTATAAAGTCTACCTTCTTGGGAATTGTTTGCTCTGGTACCTGTGTCTTGCTGGTTTTTGCTCAACAGGCAGAGATCAAGGTCATTTGAGATTCTTGGAAGGAGGCACTGGCTGGGCTGATGTGTGCAATCGTAACAGTCCTGCTGTTGCCCCCTCGGGAGTCCTGGAGAGATGCAATGTTGATGTGGTTAATGTGGATATGACAGGGTTTTATTGTTCAGGGCCAACCACTGTGGCTGGGTACCCTGCAGTTCATTGAGATTCTGCTGGAGAATCCCAATTAGGAGTGAAGGAAGTGCTGGTAAAAGACCATTCATTAGGCCCTCTCTCCATCAACACTAAAATCAATAAGTAATTAACTTGCTACAAAAGAAGAATTTTTGCAAGAAAATCGCAATTTACACAAATGCTCTGGCAGTATCTCAATTCTGCTCACGAAAGGAGCTTGCCTTTCCCTCCA